GGTCGCTGATTACGAATCTGAAGTTAGATTTTCAAAATTTAAAATGGCGGCTCCAATATGGCGGACGAATTTTGTAAAAATTGATAGATTTACTTCAAACTTGGTACCTAGGGGTTTTTTGGGTCGCTGATTACGAATCTGAAATTAGATTTTCAAAACTAGAAATGAAAATTCTTATATACATAAGTAAGGTATTCACGTCTTTTTATGGTAGCGCACTCTTTTGTCCTCAAAGGATTTGTGTAATGGTTTTCTTTTCAAATTGGTGCCTCCAGGTACAATATCCCTTTACAGCATCCAACAGTAGTCGGCCATCATATTTACATCCCATCTTCCTTGATACCGACGCTCAAATTCTGTCAGATCTCGATGGAATCGTTCTCCTTGTTCTTCACTGTAATCTCTCAAATTTTCAGGGAAATAATCCCGATGCGAGTCTAAGTAATGCAAATGCATTACTAATGCAATCCTAACTTACCAAAGTTTTTAAACATATCACTAACTATTTGCTCCCAATTTTCACTCTTGTGATTACCCAGAAAATTTTCGACAACTGCTTTAAAACTAAGTTATGCGGCTTTCTCCTTTTTATTCATCTTGGTGATAAATTGCTCATCTTTTAACAATTTGCGAATACGTGGTCCGTCGAAAACCCCTTCTTTTAGTTTCGCATCAGAGATTTCTGGAAACTTTTGTTCCAGGTATTTGAAACAGTTTCCTTTTTTATCTAAGGCTTTGACAAACTGTTTAATTGCTCCTAGTTTCGTGTGTAAGGGCGGAATTATCACCTTTGAAGGGTCGATATCGTCCGCCATATTGGAGCCGCCATTTTAAATTTTGAAAATCTAACTTTAGATTCGTAATCAGCGACCCAAAAAACCCCTAGATACCAAGTTTGAAGTAAATCCATCAATTTTTACAAAATTCGTCCGCCATATTGGAGCCGCCATTCTGAATTTTGAAAATCTAACTTCAAATTCGTCATCAGCAACCCAAAAAACCCCTAGATACCAATTTTGAAGTAAATCCATCAATTTTTAAAAAAAATAGCCTACCTCTCAAAATCCGACAGGTTTTTGGAGGTTAGAAAAAAATCCTGACGTGATGGAGCAAAACGGACTTCGGATTCGTGTTCAGCGCGTCAAAATACATGGGAAATGACTAGTCTGGTCTGCCGCGCACGACACTTTTTTTTGTGGGGCTGTGTTATTTATATTTTTAAATAAACAACTAACACATATTTATTGAATTCTTTAAAATTTTATTTTTTTACAAAATATAACAACAAGAACAATTGATAAACTATCCAAATGATTTAAACTTTGTTTTAAGTATAAATCCATTTTATTTACATTAAAAAATAATTGTTATAATCAATTATTTTAAACAAATTTTTTTAAATTTCATATATTTTTTTTAGAAATTTTACTGTTCTTATATAAAAATTTTTATAATTTCCCTAATCTATCAATTTACTATAAAATTGTTTGTCATGATAAAAAAATTGTTATAAATAATTTTATAAAAAATTAAATTAACTTTTGTTTCTTTTTCAAGTTTACAATATTGTTTTTCAACAATAATTGTTTTAATCCACATTTCAATTCATTAAAACGATTACAAAATTGCAACAATTATTGTTGAGAAACAATATTGTAAACTTGAAAAAGAAACAAAAGTTAATTTAATTTTTTATAAAATTATTTATAACAATTTTTTTATCATGAAAAACAATTTTACAGTAAGTTGATAGATTAGGGAAATTATTAAAATTTTTATATAAGAACAGTAAAATTTCTAAAAAAATATATGAAATTTAAAAAAATTTGTTTAAAATAATTGTTTATAACAATTATTTTTTAATGTAAATAAAATGGATTTATCCTTAAAACAAAGTTTAAATCATTTGGATAGTTTATCAATTGTTTTTGTTGTTATATTTTGTAAAAAAATAAAATTTTAAAGAATTCAATAAATATGTGTTAGTTGTTTATTTAAAAATACAAATAATTAATAATTAAGCAATAACAACAACCCGATTTCTCTTATATTTATCACTGATCATCATTAGCCAAGAGGAAATATTCAATTCTGTTAAGATTTACGGGCTATTAGTAGTTTTGAACAGCAGCTTGCATACAACGACTAGCATTGAAAGCACAGTTCGCCGCTGCGCGAAAAGACAAAAAATTCAATATCTCAGAAAGTTTAAAAGTCTCCATCGATTTTTTTTTATGAAAATACTCGTGAGATCCTAAGGAATCGAAATATCAATATTAGAAAAAAATTAAAGATACGCTTTTCAAAGAAAAATTTGTTTAAACAATAATTTTTAATTTTTTTTTTCAAATAAAATTTTTTTTTGTAAATTTTTTTTCTAAATTGTTATCTAATAATACGTATTCCCTCAAAAAATCATTAAAATCGATTCGTTTTTCTTTGAGATACAAATTTTTCAAAATTTCAAAAAAAATTTTAAAAGTCCTGTAAATCCCAAAATTTTAAAAATTTTCAAAAATCGCTTGTGTACTTTTCATTAGCATGTATTTCACTACATTTTTCCAAAGTTTCATCAAAATCGAAAACCTAGGGGACAACTTTGATTTTTTAGGCATGATTTGACCCTTATACAAAGAGTAAAACTCTAAGTATATCTGAAAACCTGTTTTAAAGAACGAAAAGCATTCCACGTTTGAATTCTATGTGTTCGAGTAAAAGTCGACATACATAATTTATTAGAGTAAAACTTTAGGTTATTTGATCCATGCACTGGGGCCTTTGTCCACCGTCCGTGCCTTTGCCTGGGTCTTTCGCCTAGGTCTCGCGTTCTATAGTTTGCGTGCGCACGCCTGTCAGCTGAATCGTATTTTGTTATGCAATTAAAATTATTTAAAACAATCCATTTAAACATTCTACCCTAACGTATGCAAACCGTGAAAGTTGGCTTATAAAAACTCAAAAAATTAAAGTTCAATTCTGCAACAAAGTGTCCTATGGATATCAAAAGGATCTCTTAAGGATATCCATAAAATCGGCGGTTTGGATATCTTTTGGATATCCACAGGATATCTTCTGGATATCTCTACAGACTTTCATAAATGTCCTCTAGATATCCCATAGATATCGTCAGGATATCCCACAGATATCATCAGGATATCCCATAGATATCGTCAGGACATCCCACAGATATTTTCAGGATATTCTCAGTATATCTTCTGGATGTCAAGAAGATATTCTCAGGATACTGTTTTTAAAGTCATTATGAGACTACGAGTGAGAATATTCTGTGAATTAAATTTTATATAAATAAAATAAAATGCAACTTGTTTTTCGAGAAAGTTGTTTAATTTGAAAAATTATTAACTAATTTTTTTCTCATTCGTGATTCATTCCTTTATTCATATGCTTAATATTGTCAGAAAATAAATTGGCTTTAAACAATATAAATTCTTCTCCGCAAATAACGAATAACTATTAATATTAATTATACATTAAGTGCATGAGTTTATTTAAAAACTTTGAAAAATGCGTTTCAAATCTTCATTTAAAATAAATTAGAAGCTCATAAGATTTTTGTTTTTATTATATTATTATTCATTATATTAGCTTAACAATTTTAACCTTTATAAATATATGTTGAGATATTAAATATCCCGTGAATATCCTAAGAATATCCCACGGACATCCTGAGGATATCCTGCGATATAATATCCAATAGATATTTTGCGGATGTCTTAGGGATGTCCTGTTGATGTCCCACAGACCGGCGGTTTGGATATCCTATGGTTATCCCAAGATATCCTGGGGACCATTCTAGGATATCGACCATTGATATGGATATCCTATGGATATACTTTTGTTATGAGGGTGTACATAAATTGTTTTAAATAATTTGAATCGCATAAAAAAATACGATTCCAATGAGCCCAAGAACGTTTAAAAATATTAATTTTTGCTAGAGAAATAAAAAGAATAGTAAAAACATAGAAAATTGGGTTTTTCTTAGATATCTAATTGAAAAATTAACATATTCTCTTTGTCAAGAGAATTTCCTTCAGAATTTTATTACACTGAAAAAAAGAGGGCGCATCGCGTTACTTTTTCGAGTCTTGGAGCGCGACTCAGCTTTGAGGACTACTTTGCGACTTTGAAAGTGTGCTGTCGGCTTTTCTGGGGAGCGTAGCACGCCCCAGATTGAGGTGTACAAGTTTGGGGTGCATTGCGCGCCCCAGAAAAGCCTGCACCACACTTTCAAAGTCGAACAGTAGTCCTCAAAGCTTAGTCGCGCTCCAAGACTCGAAAAAGTAAGGCAATACGCCCTCTTTTTTCAGTGTAGATTTAAAAAAATAAATAGAAAAAAATTTTAGTTTTAATATTTTTGAAGATTTAAACTGTTTTATTTTTGTTGAAAAAGCAGAGGTCACACAATTACCGTCTGTTCCAGAAACAAACCTGATAAATAAATATTTTATTTTTATCTACCAAAAACTGAATCAATATATTTCGGCGAAACTTTACAGGGAACCGTTTGTACATAATAATTCATATCCACATTATAATATATATTTCCCCAAAAAACCCGTGAGGTTCAAGTTTCAAGCTAATCGGATCAATTTTTAAAATATCCGCTATATTAGATCCACCATTTTTAATTTAAAAAATCTAGTCAATTCTTGTTTAATTTAAATTTCTGAATGTAAATTCGCAGTCACAATTTTAAACCTAGATCTCGTTTTTTCATTACGGCACAAAATAAACTAAAAAAATTTGTTTTTTTAAAAGATGGAAAAAAACAAGTTAACTTTTGAATTTTGACTTCGGATTCAGATTCATCTTCCCAAAGAATTTACTTTTGAGTTGGCCGGACAAAAAATTTTTTTGCAGGACTGTGTAAAATATGATTTTTCTCAGTTAAGTGTGTCACAACGCTTTAATTTGTCATAATAATGAAAACTTTAAAATACGTCTCATGTGTTTCGTGTATTAAAAGTGTGTTTTACCTTTATTAAGCACTAATCCAGCTAATAATCCGCGACCTCTGAATTCTAAAACCTGAAATTTGGGTATTTTTTGCAATTCTTCTTTAATAATAGCACCCATTTTTTCAGCATTATCTGCAAGATTTTCTTCTTCCAATATCCTTACAGCTTCGATTGATATCCTTTGACCTAATGGACTTCCACCAAAAGTACTTCCATGTGTACCAGCCTCAAGTAATAACATTATCTAAAAAAGTATCATTATTTTATTAACGATCTATTTTTTATATATCGTAAATGAGAAAGTGTATATACACGGAGAAAAAAAAGAAAACGGTTTAACCCGCAGGTAAAGCAGTTACTTTAAACTGAGCCGTTGTTACTGAGGGAGTGACTGGTTTTATTTTTTGAAGCACACGGATGCGCTTTGGTAAAAAGTAAACGGTACTGGTGTGCAATTTTGTAATTTCACTTTGACATTCGATTTCATATTGACTTTGATTTTCACTTTGACTTGAGAATTTATGAAACTACTATATGGGCAAATATCTAAAACATTTAACCTTTAGGTGTCTCATGTTTATCAAATAATTACGCAATATACGTTAAGAATTTGATAAAAACTATTATTGCTCCATTTAAAGCATGTTTTAAAGAATTGAAATATGTTAGTTTTAGAAATATCAATTTACGTTTTTTAAATTAAACTTTTTTTTCAACGTTGAAAAGTAAACAAACCACGAGCATTCTTTTAGGCATTTTTTCAAACATAAATTAATTTTATAAGTTGTCACATGATAATAGAATGAATTGTCGAATACATGAGTTTAAATGAATATCTGAGGGTAATTTTGAGAGCAATTAGAGAATAATACGCATTCGCAAAATAAAAATATTTATTTTTTAAACGTTCCCTTAGTCTCGAGTCAGGACCGTAACGGCAAATGTATTTCTAAATATTTCAAGAGTAGCGAATTATAATCAAATAAAAAATACGTAGAATGAAAGCTTATGACTTACTGAAACTGTGGCCAGTTGAAAATAAAGTGTATACTTAACTCATGTTGAAATTATTGAAGAATATTGAATTTAAATTGACAGTGAACAGGGATAAGGGCGCACTCACACCTTTTGGCTGCCTGCCTGCCTGCAGGAGTTGTCATGGCAACGTGAAGGAGTAACAGAGATAGTAAATTCAAATTTGAATTTTCTCTCTGTGTTACTCCTACACGTTGCCATGACAACTCCTGCAAGCAGGCAGGCAGGCAGCCAAAAAGGTGTGAGTGCGCCATAAGTCAGGACCGTAACGGTCTTTGTACAACTGAACGAAGCTTAAAAAAGATCAAACTTAAAAGCTCATTTAATGAATGATTTTCTTTACATATAGGGGAAAGCACGCTTTAAAATTTTCAGTATTTTTTTTTTACTACAAGGAGGTATTTGTAAAAATGTCAGTACCGAAACAGCCAGAACCGTAACGACTAATTTTTTAATCGCAAATTTTTCTGGTTTGAAGTTGGCAATTGGATAAATAGGTTAGCTCACTTTGAACTTTGACAGCTTTAATTTAAAAACATCAACATGGTAATGTGTTTTTGAAATTAAGAAGTTAAAAATTAATAATGCGGAAAAAATGGAAATGTTGAATAAAAAAGACGAATAAGTGAGAGAAAAAAGAAGGAAAGAAAAAGAAAAAAAAGGAAAAAAGCGGAATATTTGAGAAATTTGCGTCAACAAAAGAAGCTTCAAAGGTTATTTTGAAAAAAATTTAATATACTTCCGTAATTTTTTAAATAAGAATCATTCAAATTATTTGAAAATTACATTATATTTATTAGTTACGAATTATAAATCATAAGTAAAAAAATTAATGTTTTCAATTTTTTTCGTAGTAAAAATATGTCAAACTTAACTACATCTTGCGATGAAAAATGTCCAGAACCAGCAAAGGTTTTAAATACAGAGGAAGAACTCTTACTAAATCTTGATAGGTATTATACATATAATTTACTTTTCCTTATTGCAAAATTCTAAAAGCGTTATTATTAAAAGGTTAGATGTTGAAGTGATAAATATATTTTTAGACAAATTGATTTTCTGCCTGATTCCAAAACTTCCTGTGACCCCAATCCTACAACTTCTATCCAGTTTCCCAAATCGGTGAAGGAAAGAGTAGATAAGCATAGAGAAAAAATTAAACAAAATCCCGATCTATTTTCAAAATATAAAGAAAATGAGCGATTGAAAAGTGAAAGAAGACGTTTAAATGGAAAATTAAAGAAACTATCTCAGTTAAATCCAGCTCAGCAAATTGAAGCTCCAAAAAGAAATAAAGAATATAAAAGAAAAGAGCGATTGAAGAAAAGGCTTGATCCTGTTGTTGATGTAATGCAAACAAATAGGCGAAAAACATCACAACGTGGTAAATTAATTCTGCAATTGGAAAATAAACTTATAGATCAGAAGAAAATAGCAAATCGTTGGAAAAAAAATTTTATAAAGTCAATAAAGAAAAAAAAATGACACAAGAAGAAAAAAATGTTGAAAAAATTGTGGAAGATGGAAAAGATGCAATTAAGAAAAGACTGATTTTTTGTAAAGCATTAACTTCTTAATTGGAACAACGTAAAAATCAATTAAAATCTGAACGCGATAAATCTCTGTTTAAGCAAATAGTTGCAGGAAAAATTATCAAAAAGTATCGGGTTATGAGTCAAGCATCAAGTTTTGTAAGCATGTATACTCAGCGCAAAAATATGAAAGCTTCCAACAAACTTCTTTTAAAATGAAATAATAAACTGAAAGAATCTGCGCGTTTAACAATGAAAAATTCTGTTGAGACATTTTTAACTAATGATAAAAATTCAATTCCTGCTCCTGGTGCAAAAGATAATATCACGAAAAATGGTAAAACAATGAGAATACGCTATCTAGCTGACACCTTGGATAATTTGTACGAAACTTATAAAAGTGAGTCAGTCATCAAAGTTTCTCGTGCCTCATTTTATCGTTTTAAACCGTTTTAGATACTGAAACCCAAATCATCATGTTTTAACAGTTGCCAATGTGAAGCTCACACGAATTTTGAATTACTCTTACTAGCGCTTTTCAACAAAAAAATTATCCCAACCAAAAACGTGAAAGATTTCATGAAATTAAGGTCATGCTCAATCGAAAATAAAGATTGTATGTACAGAACATGTGAAAAATGTTCAAATAAAATAATTACTGAACCTGAAAATAAGTTGGAATCTTGTAGTTACTATGAATGAAAAAAAAATTACTGAAAGTCAGGTGGGAGCCAAAGGTCTTACATACATTGTGAAGAAAACGAAAAAAATTGAAGTAAATTCAACAATTGCCGGTGTTATAAAGGAAATTATTTCGCGAATAAACTCCTTTTTTCGACATGCTTACGATTACATGCATCAGTATAAAACATTTAAAGCACTCAGAGAAAATTTACTACCAAACGAAGTGTACGTTGTTATCGATTTTTCAGAAAATTATGAAAAAAAATGTTCGAAACAAGTTCAAGCTGCTCATTTCGGTGCATCAAAAGATCAAATAGCTATACACACAGGTAGTTTTTTTTATAGAGATACAGTAACAGATAAAATCGAATGTATATCGATTGGTTCTGTTTCTGATAAATGTTTGCGTCATGATTGTTCAGCGATTTGGGCACACATGCAACCAGTCTTGAATCTTATGAAAATCCATGTTCCAGATTTACATACGGTGCACTTTCAGAGTGATGGTCCTTATGCTCAGTATAAGAATAAGTCAAATTTCTTTTCAATGACTTATTATTTTCACGAAATGGGTTTGTCTCATGCGACATGGAATTTTTCAACTGCAGGTCATAAGAAAAGTTATGCTGATGGAATTGGGGGATCAATTAAAAATCAGTGTAATAGAGCCGTAAACTGTGGAAAAGATATAACATCTGCTCAAGATATGATCAACATTGTCACCTCTTCCAAGGATGCAAAAGTTAAAATGTTTTCCATATCCAGGAAAGAAATCGAAGACATGGATCTGATAATTCCCAAAAATCTGCTCTACTGAAAATTCTCATGTAGGATCTTATATAGGATCTCCTATGTGAAATCCTACAATTTTTCTGGTCCCATTTTTTCCTTCAATTTCTTATGTCAATTTCCTTCGTGTTTTCTCATTAAAAAACATACTAAAAATGATTGCTCAATCCTTAACCAGAAATTTTCCTATATCAAATCTTTTTTCGATTCTTGAATAAAAAATTATTACAAAAAATCTCCCATAAAATCATATTAAAAATCCTCACGTGGCACAGTGGCCGATTTCCCGAAAAACCTGGCCAAAAGTCAAAAATTTTTTTTTAGAAATTTATACTTTTTATTGTTGAATATTATAAAGGAGGGTTCACTGCATAATTTTGCGAAAAAAAATTACACTTTTTTTATCACCAATTTATTATGTGAACAAGTAAAAGTGATCTTTGCCAGAGATTTACTCAGAACGTTTCATAACTATAAATTTTCGTCACAGTTAAAATAGTAAAAATATACTAATATACAGCAGATTTTTGAATATCTTTTTTTGGGAATTATTAACAAAGGTGTATGAAATATGTTGAATGTACTTATCATCACATTTAAAACGTACAGTTTTTAAAAAATGACATTAAACATCGCTATTCATGGCTACGATTTTTGTATTGTTTTATCAACGTAAATCATGAAAATAGTTGTGAAATCCACCGATATCCGCGCTCTACCTGGTATTATCATAAACTAGAATATATTTTTGATTCATTTTAATTGAAATCAGCTGCCCCAAGCTGCCCCTGCAGTTTTGGTATCACTTTTTATTTCACCCAGCGTGGTTTACCGACAGCGCGTTGCACCGGCCGGCCGTGCAACTGAACGTGAAAGACTGACTTTTTCTTCATTCGCATTCGCTTTAAACTAAAATTTAAGCACTGTCTGTAATTTAAAAAAAATAAACTCTAACACATATACGCAATTTTATAATACCAGCAAATATTTTGGATCCGCCATATTGAATTTGATAAAACAAATGTAAAATTTGATTTCAAAAACCCAGTAAACGTAAGCATACTAAGTTTGGTTAAAATCGTACCATTTTTTAATTTTTAGCAAAGTTTTTTAAAATCTAAACGGCCATTTTGGATCCGCCATTTTGAATTTGACACAACCAATGTAAAATTTGAATTCAGAAGCCCAAAAAACATGGGTATAC